CATTACCGCGGTGGTCTGGAAGCAAGCCCGCAATGTCTCTGAGGTCCGCCTGTCCCAAGCCTGAGGCCTCCAGAGCATCTTGGGCTTCCAGCGATTCTCACTCCCCTTGGTGAGAGCTCCACCATCAACCATGACCCGAGACTTCCTGGTCCCTCTCTTGCTGCTGTTCTCCTTGTGTGCAAGGAGATCCCTGGAGGACAGGACAGAGGAGCCAGTGGGCCACGTCTAGCTGTGGAGAGGTGGGCTTCACCAAGAGGCTGTGAAGGACACTGAGCCCCACTGCTGTCACACTTGAGAAGCACCTGGGAACGCCGTATTGGAGTGAGCTCCGTGAACAGCCTGGGAAACCTTCAGAGCTCTGTTTTTGCTGAAAAACTCAGTTGCCCTTGGGGCTGCATCTGACAGACACACACCTGTGTGTCTGTAGCCTTCTAGTCTAGTTTGCAATGCCATGTAACGTCACCAGGGCAAACTCCCTCTGGGGCTGGATTTCTCCTTTGATTGCTTTCAAGGGTAACACAGATGTTGTCTGTCCCGGCTGCATCCTCCGATGCTGCAGCTGACTCCAGTCCTGCAATGCGGCTGAGCTGGAAGTCTCACAGGTGGACAGATTAACAGATGGTCACTTACTTTCTCACAGTTTAAGAGGTAAGGAATCCAAATTCAGGGTGCCCAATGCAGTCCTGGTGTGGTGCTGTGGGTTACTGTGTTGGACGGCAAGGTCCGTTTGAGCCAAAAGGTCGGTGGTTCAAGCTCACCAGCCACTCTCCAGAAGCCATAGACCGGGTGGCTATGAGTCAGAACTGACTTGACGGCACGTAACAACAACAATGTAGGGGAGGCCTTTCTCCGTCTGGTCTCCTTTCAGCATCCGACCCATGTTAACACAAGGAAACACAGTCCGGTCCTGTACTATCCTCACTGACATTGCTGTGTGTAAGCCCATCGCAGCCACTGTCTAAGAATGAGGGGCGGCTTATCCACACCCCACACAAGCTCAGGTCCCTTTAGTTTCCACATGAACTGCAGAACCACAGTTACACTACCACGATGACCACTACTCAACAGGGGTGAAAACAACGTGGGTTCTACGTGAGCGCTACGACACCTCGAGAATATGCTTTAAAGGGCTAGCAAGCATGACATCTGCACTGGGAACACGCATGCCGGTTCAGTACCATTGTCTCTGAACCCTGGTATCAACACACGAACGCTTGCTTTAGCCAAGATTCAGGCAGCCACAGAGTCCCTGGGCAGGCGGTTCAAGTCCACCCAGAGGCTCCTCAGAACAAGGCCCTGGCAATCTACTTCTGAAACATCCGCCACTGAAAATAGTCTGACTCTGACACACCTGGGAGCACCATCAGTTAAAGTCCACTCAGCAGCAACTAGTGGGAGCTCAGGAAGTATGTAAGAGAGATTGTTAAAGAGACCCCCAGAAACCTGGGTCACCCCAGATAGATAGGTCCTCACTCACCAAGTTGTCCTGGAAAAGCGGAAACTGCTCCCATATTCAGCCACTGAAATGAAGAGACGGGTGTTCATGTATACGGGCAATGCCGACGCACACCGAGAGATCTTTCCATGGTATTCTTCTCAAAGAACACTAACACACTGGCCTGGCAGATGCTTACGTGTGTGTGTGTGTGTGTGTGTGTGTGTGTTTGGCATTGGTTTCCAAACACACACACATGCACACAGTAGCATAAAAAAATTCACAAAAATACAACAACTGGAAATGGAGAGGAAACAAAACAACTTTCAAGGCCAGAGGACTTCAGAGGAAAAAATGCAAAATATTGAAGGGAAAGGCTCTTTGGGAAAATGACCTGTAGATGCAAATGTGTAACTGTATCTCATTTCAAACCTTTTCAGGGAATGAAATCACACATATGACAAAGAACAGAGGGCCACCAGAGCTGCCTTAAATTGATCTCAAACCCAAAGTGATACAACAAAGCTCTCACAACTAGTTTTACTTCATTATTTTCATGAAGGCTATAGTTATGCCTCCTGATGCGGTGCTGTAGGATCAGCACTGGACTGCTAGCCACAAGATCCGCAGTTCAAACCCACCTACCAGTTGCTCCTCAGAAACCTTACACAGGGTTGCTATGATTTGGAACCAACTCAACTGCACTTAACAATAACATGGTTATATAAACCCAGACTCCTGGCTTGGCATTGTAGGATCAGCCCTGGACTGCTAACCACAAGGACCACAGGTCGGCGGTTCACACTCACCAGGTTGGTTGTTAAGTGCCGTGGAGTCGGTTCCAAGTCATAGCAACGCTGCATACGGTTTCCAAAGCTGTTCATCTTTACGGGAGCAGAAAGCCTCATCTTTCTCCCGAGCTAGCTCCTTAGAAATCCTAGACAGGGCCACTATGAGTTGGCACCGATTTGACAGCATTTCACAACAACAACAACAGTTATACCTAAGGAGTTATGGTGGTGCAATATTAAGGCTCAATTGCTAACTGAAAGGTCCATAGTTCAAACCTACCAGTGGCACTCAGGGAGAAAAAAACCCTGTATTTGCTTCTATAAAGATGACAGCCTAAGGACCCCTATGAGGCTGTCATCTAGGGTCACTAAGATTTGGAAGTGGCTCGACAGCAGCCAACATCAATAATTAGTTCAATGTTCTGGCGCGGCGTCCTCTGCGATGCTCAGCTAGGTGTCTTTGTTTCTTGCACAGGGCTTGCTCCTTCCGAGAATGCCCTGACAACTCCTGTGTTGGTACTGTTATTAGGTACCCTCCTCAAGGCGGTTCTGGATATTACTGAAAGCTCATCAGATGAAAGGTGCTGATGAGAAGGGGATCCTCATCTCCAGTAACGGAACCACCAATAATCTAAGAGAAGGCACATGGCCATCTCCATGGACCAATGTGCTTGAGGGCTCAGTGCCATCAACCTAAAGAAACAATCAGTAAGACCCAGAATCAACTGCAGCACCCCAACACCTTCAGGTTTCCAAGGGAACAGCATGATAATCATCTTACTGTCACTAGGCAACTGTCTACATTGCTTCTCATGGAAAGAGTGATCCTGGTGTTTTGTGGCACTACATAATAACCCCTGTCAATGCGTTCAAACACACGGTCCGGGGGAGACACCAGGCATCAACTGATAGGTCAACTCATCCTTCACTTGAGACAGGAAAAGTAATCTGGTGGCAGGAGGATGCTCTGATGATTGTCTGCAAACATACATGCCCACGCATTTGCATGACAAAAAGGCACACTGAAACCATGAGTGATTCTTCTTCAGGGTTCGTGAAGGTTCCTGGGGAAAGGCAGGGCTACACGGGGCACCCTGTGTCTGGTTAAGGGGGGCGGAGGGAGCTACAAGAGGAGAGCTGGTCTTTCTGTGACAGTGGAAACAGGGCTTGAGCCATTCAAGGATGAAAACCTATGTCTGTCCACACAGCTTAGAAAAATTGCGTTACCTCGCAGTCCTAAATATTTCACTTCACAAGTGATAAATATGCGTAGTCTGGCAGAGACTATGGATAGTTTTAGACAGAAGAGCGTTCTTTCAAAAAACCAATAACATGCACACACGGAAAAGTCAGCTTCTTTTTTTAAAATTTTAGATAGTTGTTAAGTGCTGTCGAGTTGGTTCTGACTCATCTTGACCCTGTATAGGGTTTCTGAGGAGCACTCGGTGGTTTGAACTGAAAATCTTAGTGGTTCACAGTCCAGTGCTGAGCCTACAGTGCCCCACCAAGAGTCCACCAAACCTAAGAAACTCTTCATTTTGTCTTAAATGGGACAAAACCAAGGCAAAGAGCATTTGTATGAAGGGGACCATCAGCAAGAAGCCAGCATGGTATCTGAAGGATTCAAGGCCACTTGGCTAATTACAGAATAATAATAATAATAAAAGGAAATGGTCCCCAACAATGATCAGTGGAAGATCAATCCATCATTGTCACAGGCGGGATGACAGAAGCAGGAAAATGGACACTATCGCCTATGGACACAACTGCAGATTAGAAAAGTTACAGGGATGGCTTTGGGGCCCTCCAACCACCTTGGATGGGTTTAACATTACATGAGCATTTGTCAGCTCTCTAAAAGACAGAAGATCTTTAACATTTAGCACACGGCTAGTCTTTTCCACTAGGTTTTCCTGCTTGGCCAACACTGGAAGGACCTTTAGACTGGGCGGAGGCTTGCCAAATTCCCAAGTAGATTTCATATATAAACTTCTTCTTTGTCCCTGGATGTGACTGTGTTGGAGACTCTTGACTCAAATAGTGTATGTTGCATGATACAAACAATTATATCAAATTATCTCTCAGTTTTTAATGGCAGACCCAATCCCAAGACCACCCTAGACGGTACCCAGCTACCACTGCCAACTCTCTCTGAAAGAGATCTCAGTAGGAGATTCTGGAAGGATTGAGAGAAAAATGTGAAACAAAATTCAAAATCTAAACAAAGACGAGGAAAATGGGACTGACAGAAACTAATGGGACCCCTAAGAGACGTTTCATGTCTGGAACCGAGCTCATCCTCATGGTTCAACTTTAAGTCCATAACAACACAGAGGTACACACTCCCTATAACAACCAACCACAGAGATTAAAAGGGCATCACTGGACCAGGGAGATACCTCAGAAGGCAGGAAGGGGCAGGGAAGGACAAACAGCAATGGAAAAACAGGGATGAAGTGGGAGGAAGGCTGATACATCGTGGGGATTGCAATCAATGTCACGGAACATACCAGTTGTTGAATGGAAAACCAATTTGCCCTGTAAATTTTCATACAAATCATAATGAAAAAATAATAGTAACACTCAGAATTGGACTATTTTCTCAAGTACAACCTAAGGATATTATTTAAGAATGTGATTTTTGGGACTGGCTATTCACAGTTGTGGTCCAAGTGGTCTCATATCCTGAGTCTAGGGTTTACTAAGAAACCTGGGGCCAGTACTTTTGTCTCCCCAAATTCCATGTCGGTTCCGGGTGGGGACTATGTGCTTACCATGGCCAACGGAATCACTGCCATCACCTCCTTCTCGCTCACGTAGATCTTAGACACTCCCAGATCTGACGTCACTTCTCCTGGGTACTCGACCTGCCAGGTGATCAGCTGTGTGGTCGGCGAGTTGCTGGGCTCTTCTATCTCCACGTCGATCTGCATGACTTCGTAGGTGGCAGCATCCGAGCTAGACAGAACAGAGGAACAACTGTGAGGGATGGGGTGCCCCACCCTAATTTTCTATCTACTGGACCCACCTGTACATGTTCTAACCATGCCTCACTGCAAACTGACTCCCTGGGCCCTGACATCAAGGGGTCCACAACACAAGGTAGAATGTGTGGCAAGACATGAGGAGATGAACGGCCGGTTTCCTGGAGCTTCCTTCTGGGCGTAGGGAATGAGACAGGGCACTGGAGTATCAGGGGTGACCTTCATGATGGAAGGGGGCGGCGAGGGCCGGGGTCAGGGAGAGAGAAAGAAGGAAGTGAAATCAGAAGACCTGAGCAAAGAGATAACCTCCGTGAAGTGGCCCTTTCTTGCGGGAGACAAGAGAGGCTGCTGTGGGCGGCAAGGGAGCAATGGGAGGAGGATCCGTGACTCTCTCAGGACACAGCTGTGATGGGGGCTGAAGTGCGGTGCTTTGGTCTGTGTTCCCTTCAGTTGGCTTTCTGGAGCTTTATCCCAAGCAGCAGGGACTCGGGACAAGGACCACATTGCCCGAGTCTTGTGTTCACACAATGGGATGACTCCTCCTGGGCCGTGTTGGGCCTTGATTTCTATTTTCAGCCACAAGAAAAGGAAATGGATTTAAGAGAGAGAGCTAGTAGAGTTCAGCTTCACCAGAACATCCACACGGTACAGCTGTCTCCACGTGATCCCGAGATCACACCACCCACCCTGCACTACACGCTCCTTGCGGCTTCCTTTGGATGCCTCATACTTGACCAGAATGGAATGATCCATCCATGCCCACATTGGATTTCCTGAGCCCAATAACCCTGCATCTTGGCATATGGAGCTCGCTCTCTCTGCATTGCCTTGGTAAACCACCCTATGTATTCACGTTCAACCAACCCATAAGACCCATCTATAACAAGGGCAATGGCAACATTCTGAGAGGTGCTCTCCTGGCTTCACAGACTCCCATTCCGTTAGTGACCTCAGGAGCTGATTCTGTGAAGTTTGAGTTCCCTGTTGACCTGAGATTCATTTTGAGCAAGGTGTGAAAGAGGAAAGGGATCAAACAGAAGGTCCTGGCAAGAGTGGGAGAAAATGAGAAACAAAACTCAAAATCATAGAAAGACCAGGCTCACTGGCCTGACAGAGACTGGAGGAACCTTTGAGACTCTGGCTCTTAAGCACCCTTCAAGACTGGAACTGAACTCACCTGAGGGTCAGCTTCCAACCAAACAAGAGACAGGCCCATAAGGGGAACAATCACACCCTCGAAGTATAGCCTCATTAGAACAATCACCCATAGGATACTGACAGGAAGCACTGTTTCAGGGAGAATGCTCGGGAGGCAGGAAGCTGTGGGAAAGGAGGAAGAATGGAAGTTGGGACGAAGTAGGAAGAGTGCTGTTACAACGCGAGGATTGAAGGCAACGTCACAAAACAAAGTACAGCAAAGAAAACAAACAAGATGGCGGATCAGGTGGACGTGCAGTAAAGGAGCTCCACCAGCAACAACACAGAACACCTGACCAAGCAGGCTCAGGGGATGGTCCCAGAACTCTGAACCACATATTTAGAAGGTTGGAAGGCTCACAGCTGGGGAAATTTGTGGCAGAAGCAAGAAATCTATTGCTTTCTAGTCCAGGCTGCTCAGCTGCTCCAGGAGCCGCCATCTTGGGTGAG